TTTACTGTTAAATGTTTAGAAGAGTGTTGTCGACCAGATGCATAGGAGCTAAGCATGTCGCATGTGGTGGCATGGCTTGTATCATTTCACTGTTGAAATAGTGATATATTTAACACTATACCCCTTACTTCTCAAATCTGCTGCTACAGCATGAAGTGTTGAAACAAACTGAATTGTACTAATTAATGCAATAGAAGTTTGTGCGCTCAAATTATGTTGTATCGTATTAATGCAATGTACCGTATCTATTCTAATGTCAACAAAAACATAGAGCATCTTGATTCCTTTTGTTACATCAACTGGAATTAAACAACTATGTCCATAGTGCACCATAAAGTCTGCTCCCAATGCTCTGGGCATATAAGTACTGGATATGAAGGTCAGGTTTATAACTTTTTGTTTGTGCACGTGTGTAATTGAACTTTCATGCCAATTTAAGCTTATTTTCATTGGACATTATAAACTGAAATTGGTTACGTGGTATTTTTCACATTTTTTTTAGTACTTGAAAGTAATAATGAAACTTTTAATCTGTTGCAAAACCTGGCCAAATTAAAGGCTCAAGTTGCTTGTAGATTTCTCAAGTACAGAGTTTTAAACAGTGACTTTGCTTGAAGGATGAAATACATGGAAGGCTAAAGTGAAAGAAAAAAAATCAATGGCAGTTTATTTCCTTTTTTGTTTTTAATCATTACGTATGTGATAGATCTCATGATACCATTGTGGATAGTCAAATAACCCTGGAGTAATAGAAAGAGTAAGGTAGCACAGGGGTTTAACCCATTTTTTTTGTTTGTTTAGTATTATTAAAGCTGGACTCGTATGAGTTCTGGATCCCAGTTATGCATTTTAAAATAATCGTGATGATTACAGAATCATTGCTAAAGTACATAATAAGGTCAAGCCAAAATTTTCTTTTTATTTCAAAGTATGGTCATGTCATAATACATCTTAAAGTTTCACTCTTTTCATTACTTGTACTTTTTTTTTCACACTTTTTATGGACATTACATATTTTTTCACAAGGTGGATAACCAGATGGTGATGTTGAGAGACACCTTAAAATTGTCTATGAAGGAAACACTTCAACGAGAGGATTTTTGTAGAGTTCTTCAGGATACCCTGCAAGAATATTTTCCAGGATGTACTGTACACCTTTACGGATCAAGTATCAATGGATTTGGGTTTAAAGGATGTGACATTGACATGTTTTTGGATATTAATCATTTAGTAAATAAGGTAATACAGAAGCACAGTGAGAAGCCTTTTTTTATTTTATTTTTTTTGCTCTCATAATTTAGCATGTGGTTTAGGATTTAGTGTTTCAAGACATCAGTGCTGAAAGAGTACAAATCGAGCAGGTAATTCGATAACCATACAATGCCAAGAGCAGTGACTAAAGGATGGAATATGTTGTATATTAAAACAATTTTGAATGTGCAAATCATTAAGTCTTCTGACAACTAAAACTTATTTGCAAAATTGTGGTAAAACGTAAATATATTGGAACTATATTTTGATATTGTTTGGAATTTTTGTAGGTAGTGTCATACCATCAAAAATTAACTATGTTGGAAAGGGTATGTAATAGCCCTTTTTGACACAGAATATTTACATGTGAAAAGCTATCCATTGCCCCAGGCAACAGCATGCAACATATTCAAGAACTAACTCCATCTGGAAATGAGGTCAAACGGGTATGTGTTCACCAAGATGAAGCTTTCAGTTGTAGCTCCAAATCAACTGTCGCATACCTCAAGAAGCTGACATATAAAACCCATATTCGTATTATTTGTTATGAAGACATGTTGGTGAAGTTGCTGGATGCAGCATGTATGTAATTCTGTGTGATTATGTTGTTTAAACTGTCACTGGGAAACAATCTTTATACTCTAGATGAATTATTGAAAGCATGCAGAAGTAGCATTGTGCTTTGGATATGGCATCCTTATGTTAGAGCCATTTGCTGCAAGGCAACTCCCAAGATGCATGGTCATCAGATAGAGCATGAGTAGACATAGTGATATGGATTTTAATGATGTGGTGAGGCTTTAAAATGTTTTTAACTCTGTGTACATGTCTGGATTAAATTGAGCATATCCTGATATTTTGCATAGTTACATTAACAATTTAAACTTTATTATCAATATATGTCAATAAACTTGGCATTAAAACATAGTTTGTAATTCCAGTTTTTAAAACATAGTATGTAATTCCAGTTTTTAAAACATAGTTTGTAATTCCAGTTTTTAAAACATAGTTTGTAATTCCAGTTTTTAAAACATAGTTTGTAACTCCAGTTTTTATATCATCCAAGTTTTAATTTCAAAAGGAAATATTTTAAGTTCATAATCTTCACTTCTCTGTAAAGCATCTGTGTTCTCTGAATTTTTACAAATCTTATCTCTTTTCCCAACATAGCTTCTAGTGTCCAACCAGTAAGAAACACAAACTGTACATTATGACGAACACTATAAAGTTTAAACCTCCTGCCTTCTTGAATTGCTAAGATATCAGTAAGTTTGTCAAACCAAATAGGAAAGGTCTTTCCATAGCTTTCAAGGTAGTTATTTAAATCACATCATATTTGGTGGACATGTTTATAACCGATAGAAAGAGTTTTTTTGTTTTGCTTTTCATCTGTATGAAGCTTACAATCATCCTTTTGAATTTGGCAGCAAAAGACTGTAGTTGAGAAGAAGTACATGATCTGCATTGAGCAGTTGTTGCTTCAAGCACTAACATAGTATTTTTTAAATTATAAATAAATTATAGATAAAATTATAATTATAATTATAGATATATTATAGTAGTTTAGGGACATTCTCTTCTAGTAACTGATGTCTTTTAAATGCATAAGTTACATTAATTTTTGTTTGACGACATACTTAGATTTAAAAAAAAAAAGAAGGGAGAGAGAGAGGCCTAGTGAGTTAGATGCCTGAGTGCAAATGTTCACATAGCTCATACTGAGAAGTACTTCCACATATGAGAAGCTGATCATTTGTTTCCACTGTAGTTTATTGCCTTCTTGGAGCAGTAAAACCATAAAATGAAAATATAACAGATGTGAAAAGTTTAACATTTGAAATTGTGAAAATAATTAAATTAAAGATGTGATGACAAATGATGTATTCAAAGAATAAGAAAAAAAAATTCATTTTATTTTATAATTTTAAAATTCTTATTTTACTGTACAAAAAATAAGAATAGGTAAATGTAAAGTTTTACCCAAAAAAAATCATTTAGTATATTATTGAAATTGTACAGATAAAATATGTAAATTGTAAGATAAGAAAATATTTTTGTTCTTTCATTCAAAAATTGCCTTTCACTCTAACTCGGTAAAGGCTTTTTAAAATCATGGACACATCTTTAGTAAAAATACTGTATTTCAAATACTGTTTATGTGTACAAAAGAGTTTTTAATGTTTCCTAAAGGCTTGCCAAATTTCACAAAGATACAATTTGTAAATTTGGAGTTCTAGAATGTAAACCTTCAACATTCTGTGGGCTTGGACCATTGGACCAAGTCATGAGTACAGGGTAACTATAATGTACTCAACCATTTGTATTAGATACAATGACCACAAAATAAATAAATTCTAACAAAAAGCAGTTGACATGAAGTTATTGTTATACATGTTGCTAAGTAATTATATAATACTTGTATTTTAAAAGTATTTAACTTTTTTATTAAAGAAAACTCCTAATATAGTTTTATAAAGAGAAAAATATAAATTATTGATGTAATTAGCATCCAAAATTACTGTATTATTTGTACAGTAATTAAATTTGAAATTTCTTCACAAAGTGATTGAAAGATTTAGAAACATAAAATGCAGAAAAAAAAATTGGTAGGGAAAAGGCTTTTCTTCAAGTGTTTTTTGTTTCATTCTGAAATTTTAAAGCCAAGGTTTCCATAAGTAGCTGATAAGTTTTTAAAGTATCATAAATTTGATTTTAGGATTTCTGAAAGCCCTCACTGTTTCAGATTTATAATGCTTACTATTTTTTTCCATGCCACAACTTGCGTGTTTGATTTAAAAGTTAATATTTTTTTAAAATTTCCTCAGGATTTCACTTCATCTGACACTTCAAAGTGTGGAGATATACCTTCTGTGCATGATATTATAAGTGGTTTGGTGTCTGTTAATATAATTCACTAGATGCTCAGGAAATGCAGTTGAAGTTCATAAATTAAAGTTAACG